AGAATGTTGCTCCTGGCCACACAGCTTCAGTGTTAGTATAACTATTAGCAGTACAATGAAAATTTCTAAATATGAAACAGTTATAGTAGTACTGTGCTTACTGGAATGTATCCTTCAACTAGTCCCTTACTTAAAAAGTCACTTACAAGGCTAGAACAATGTTTATGTACCACAGTTTTTCAAATCTATCTTTAAAAAAGTAATTAATTATTCAGGAAAGCATGGATATTACTGTAGTGTTATGAATTGGTCTATTTATGGTACAACCGACTCTTACTTTCAATATGAATTTCATACACATTCAGTTGTTTTACTCTGGACCTGAGAGGTATTATTTTGCATGGGCTAGTACCTACTGAAACCTTAGCATGAGAAGATTTTGGAACAGAGGTTTTCAAGTGGGTTTGCTGAACAAGAAATGCTTCTTGCTCTACAAGAAGTTGTAGAGTTCCCCAGAGGGGATGACATGAGTTAAAGCACATCTACACAAGCAGTTCCAGCTGACCCACACTAAGGCAACTGCTAGAGTACCTAGCAGCCCCTCTTTCCAGCCTGCAATTTGCCACCTTTGCTGCAGGAATACAACCAGTGCTGGACGYGCTCTTGTGGCTCAGCAGACAGGAGCCAGGCCAAGACACAGCAGTCTACAAAGAGAAGGGACCAAGCTGCATTAGGTAGGCTTAAAAGTATSATGGCAATGGCCAGAATGGTGACCCTGAATAGGGGATGTCCAGGGCAAGAAACATGCACTAGGAAAGCAGGGACCTACCTTTGATAGGCTGGATTTTGTTGGAGAAATGTAGTGAGAAAGAAAAAAGAAAGACCTTCAGTTCACATATGCAATCAGCACAAAACAGAAGAGGGGAGAAAAAAAAAAAAAAGAGAGATTTTGAAAAAAGCCTTCTAGTAAGATATAAGATGGAAGGCCATTTGGAGGATAGATATATGTAAAATGTTATTTGTTCAAAACAAATTGCAAAACAATCCTATCATGTGCCACCCATGTGAGGACCAAAAAGAACCATTTTTTTTTCCYTCTCTGAGCTTGTCATCATAGGCCTATATGAACTATATGAACTTAGTGTGCAAAACAGCATTGGTGTTCACTTAAAGAGCTGTAGACTATCAGCCAGGGCTAAACATTCCAGTTCATTATATCACATCTATCTTAGAAGTCCTAATGAATAAATGCCTCTGGATATTCAAGCCAGAAACCTCTAACTGCTCCTACTCCAGCCCCATACTATAGTGCTTCCTTATTGATAGGAAATGATTTGTTAGAACACAAGCTAGCATCCTAGTAGTACAGGCAAAATTTAATCTCCTACTCCATCTGAACAGAAAAAAAAAGTTCTGCTCTAAAGGATAGTATTGTAAAGATCACTAAATATTAAGGCATGAATTTCTGTTTACAATCCTTTTTCTACCATCCTTCCCTTTCATTTTATGAGAATTACCTACAAAAGCTTCTTTGGTGAAACTCTTTTCACAAATAGATTGTGTTAGTCTGCTCCTAAAGTTCTGCCAGATACTATTGTTTGCTCTTTGATTGAGATTATCAGCAATTTTTAGCCAGATCTATCAACTGCAAGCAGATCACTAAAGTTCAGAGCAATTTCTCCTTCACAGACCATCCATCTCCTATTAGTCATAAAAAAGCACTGGGATAGGCCAAGATTCCTTCTTCATTGTTATGGGATGTTTGTTAAATCTCTGCACCAGGTCCTAAAGGATAACAAAGGAATGAACTCTTCGTTTTTATACAACAAGAGTAAGTTGTTTAGTTTCTTAATCACTGGTTTAGGCTCTCTCCAAGAAGGACTAAGTTTGGAATTTTTTGCCTGGAAATTTCTTCTAATCAAGAGCTGTGTATTTTTCTACTTTGTGGATGGAATTCTGGTGTCTGTACTTATAGTGCAGATCTGCCTTATAACCAAAATTTATGTGCTGAGGGCAGAAATATAAAAACATTTTTCAATGACAGCTACCTGAAGAGAACTCTGATAACTATCAGTGCCTTTTTATTAAGGCACAAGAAAGCAGAATTACAAAAATAAACACAGTGAGAGTAACGGATAATAGAGCCCCAGCAAAGAAAGCAAATGTTATTTTTATATTCTAGCATTTATAGTCTTCACCAAGACTTTAAGAGTTTAATTTGCAGCCTTCAAACTCCRCACCAGTCAAGCTCAATTTATTCAAGGGCAAATCCCACAGCAGCTTTTAGCATTGCATAAAAGTAATTTCCCATACAGAAGCTGTGAGTGCCTACRATCAGTTTGGAAATTTAAATACAATCTAGTTCATAAAAGTCCTTTCTTCACCAATTCAAGTCCTCTTTTTTTGGCTTTTCCTCTGTCAAAAGTCACCCAACTGCTTGGTGCAAGGCTGCCATTGCTCACTCATCAAAACAGTATACAAGTACTTTTAAATCTATAAATGTCATCCAGTCCTGCAGATATTCTCTAGACTTTTCTAATGACCAGTTGTATAACTGGAGCTGCCACCTGCGCTCTGCCCAGCAGCACAGGTACATATTGCATCATTGTAAACTTGCATGGTGCATGTTAGGATGTGAACTCCGAATTAAAGAAATTTGCACAGTATTTTCTAGTTCCTACAAAATCTACCTTTTCTATTTAATACAGACAATTGAAGCTGCCTAACTCGTTAAGAACGTTTTCTATTCCTAGAGACTGGGGCTAAATCATTTACTGATGATTCGTAAATTCAAAAAGCAATTCCACAAAATTAATATTCCACAATTCCACAATATTCCACAAGTGAGCATTAATATTAATTTTCATGTGCCACTTACAATTACAACCAGAAAAAATATATTAATAATTTTACTACAAGAAAACCATTGGAAAACTGTTAAATATGTTGAACTGTACGTGCATTAAGAATCACACTCAAATCATGTCCTGGCAGTTTTTGTCATGCTGCTTGAATTATTACAGTGAAAGATGTCTAATCAGTTCATTTAATCATTTACCTTTAGGTTATTCCATGATACACGGTATCATCAATAATAATCTCTGATGGTCCATGTGATGCACTGAATCAAACCTCTCAAGCTTACTGTTTAAGAAATACACTAGCATAATTTAAGAGTAATTAAAATTGCTTCTTGCTTTTTTGATTCCTCTCTCCAAGCTATCATACAGCTCTTCTACTTGCAGCTTTCTCACAGCTCTTGACCTCTTGCCACTAATTTTGAAACACAAGCTACAGTAAACCCAATATCCTTGGTCAGCCTGATTGATKCTTGGTCAGCCTCACTATTCTTTCATATAATCATATATAACCAACCTTCTAACCATATATCACTTAAGAATACAATTTAAAATAATTGCCCTCTAAAGAGCAGCCTTAGTCATGGATTTCATATACCAGTGAATTCACAGCCCATTTTATTTTATGTATTTTTATTTCTACCTCATTTCTACCTTTACTTTAGTTCAAACACTAAGAATCCCTCCTCGTGTTGTCAGCATTTTCCACACATCTTCCCACTGACATTAGAGGACCATTTCATCAAGACTAAGCAGCATTTTACATGTATATTAGATGTAGAATCCACCCCTACTTGGATCACCACATCCTTGTTTCCCGCAAGTTTACTCTTACTCCTCACATGTCCCATAAGAGCAAATGGCTGGCAGTGGGATGGRCATGAGTCAAGACTGAATACCTAAAAGAATTACTATATGTATTGCTACTTCATGAAAAAATATCCCCAGTGTCACAAACTATTAATTGATTAATTTAGATCAGGAAGAGGTAGATAAACCATAAGTACATGAAAACAATCATTGGGTATATCATTTCACACCATCACCTTTGTTGTTTGGATTAGTTGAATCTGAAGGGTTTTTTTTTTTTTTTTTTTTTTTTTTGGCCGATCCTGTTCTAGATTTCTACAAAAATCTCTTTCCAAAACTCCAGAGTATTGTTTTCATATAGATTTTGAAGTTATATGGGTCAAGCACAAGAAGAGTTAGAGTCAGTGAGCGTTTCCCACCAAAGACAGACATTTTGACCACTAGAAATGAAAGTATTTCCAAAGTCCAAGAGATTTACAGAAAGCCAACATTTTCAACATATTTGCAAATGTATTCTATTTTCTAAGAAAAATRTCCTGCATTTGAATTTTCAATTTTCCATTAAAAAATGATCAAAATCACTCAATTCTGTCTGGACACATGGTGGCACACAGTGAATCTATTTCCATAGGCTTTCGACTTACTGTGTTACATTTCTTTGAAGTAGTTAAAGATGTAGACATATAAGAAACAAGATAGAAACATTTCTGCAACAATAAAATCCTCAAAAATTCTCTAAAAGAATCAGAAGGATCATGCTTAGAAAAACTATACCCTCTGTTTAATGTATGAAGTCATTACTTATCCTGAAACAGAAGCAAAGTATTCTCATGTCAGAAAGTTTCATTTCTTCATTATTTGCTATTATTAGTGCTTCAGTGAAGAGAACATAAGGTATCCCCATCATGTTTATCATGTTGTATTAAAGGTGCACCCAGCACCACGTTAATTTAAGTTGTAGTGTGCTTGGTGCTTCATGAACTCCAAGAAAATGCAGTTTCCTTCACAGCCCTAGAGTTTCATAATTTGGATAGGATCCTAAGAATACAATTCCCATTTAATTCAATGGTAAGCACATAACTAAAACCCTGTGCAAGGCATTGAACATTTAGCACAGTATTCACTAAGTAGATCCAGATGATGGGCCAAATCCAGCTCTGATGTAGGTGGGCAAAATGCCATTGAAATCATTTGAGTTGCAACACTAGAGCTGAATTTGACCTTATATTTTTTGAACATGATGCCAAATGACTGCAAAAACAATGTAGTTTTTACTCAAGTGCAAATGAATGCGGTGGTTTCATCCTAGCCCCTGGAGGACATGTATTCAGAGCACAAAAGCATCACACAGTTTGGCACAGCTTGCAACTCCTTTTCCACCAAGATCCAGGACTAGAGTGTTCAGGGCGTTGCAGGTCATGAGCAAAGGAGGCGAAGCAGGATAGCTACATGGACATGGCTGCACAGCRTTGGCCCATTTGCCTCTTGCTAACCTCTTGCCAGCACTCGTTTCCTCATTTTCATCATTCACTTCAATGTTTCAAGAACAAAAACAACTTGAATTACTCTGAAGTCTCAGTAGATGGGCATTGTTCCTCCCCAGGGCCTACTGAAAAGCAACTGTACAACTTTGTAGTTATGCTGATAGAACTAAGAGCTCAATTTGCATTAGTGTGACTATTAACACTTGGCCTGTGTAATATCTTACCTTTAAAGGTGTGAAGGGTCTTTATGAAGGCAAGTCTATAAAAGATAATGATAAATGCAATCAGTATTTTTACTGCATGTCCTTGCTATTCATTCATATTTTCATATTTGGAATTTGGCTTCCTGAATTTCAAAGCATAAGTATATTTTATTGACTTGAAGACTGTATTCACTCTATGCCTCTAGGGACTTGATTCAGGATATAAATCCAAGCCMTTTAAGTGGAGCCATTACAAACATCTGAGATCAGCATAAATAAGCACAAGACAAGTAGCAACTGAAAAAGTCAATGACAAATTGGAGAAGAAAAAAAAGTGGTCTGCATCATCAGATCCAGCAAACAAAATAGTAATGGAATTTCAAGCCCTTCTTAACCATATCTTCAATTTCTACCCTCACTGCATTCTGTAAATGTATCACATAAATTTAGTATGATGGTCCTCCAACTGCTGCTCTTCCTATTTATTTATTCTATCCTCAAATAGAAAAAAAAAAGAAAAGAAAAAATGGGACAAAAATATCATTGCTGAGGGAAAATTTCCTTGAGTGGAATACAGTGTGGAAACTGCTTTCTAAAAAGTTTGATATTCAATAAATAGAATAACATGCAAGTTTCCTGTGCTTGCTATTATGAAATAAGAGCAACTTTTTTCCCACTCTGTTCATCTCACTTGTACTCTTCCAAACTGTACTGTCACCAAAGAAATTTCCCTGAAAGAAATCACAGGGATAGTACCCCTATGCCATAGAATAGCTGAAGAAATAATCTGCAGTAGTATCTGTTCACTCTCACACAGAAAGTGAGAAAGATAATTATAGAGATTTGTTCCTCACAACATTCTTCCTCACTCTTAATCTTTATCACTTTATTTCTTCCTTCCAAGATTTTATCATCTGTCCAAACATTATTTTACAGAAACATTTCTTTTGCAGTCGTGTGGATCCCASACCATGTAAACTTTGAGACCAAATCAATGATATAATCTGAAGAACTGAAATAAGTCCAAAATGAGTGGTACCAATGTGAAGCAAACAAAAGCAGTTTTTCAGTCACAAAGCTAGACTTTTAAGACACAATTATGAAATCACAAATACAACATGGACATTTATTTGGAACTTTCCAAAAACAAAAAGTAAAATTAAAGGCTGATTTTTATGAACACTATCTTGATCATCTTTATTCTTCAGGTCTAGTTAGGGATTTTTTTTTTTTTTTTATTAGAAATACACTGTATTCAATTTAGTCATAGATATTCTAGAAGAGACTATCGCTTTCACAGAATCACAGATCAGAATGAGACATATTTTAAGGAAACTACTCAAGCAACAGTATGTCACATCATCACATGTGTGTAATTCTACTTTGTCTGGTTACAGTGACTTCAGAATTAGATTCTTTACAGGAAGATTCTTTACTCTTGTTGCACAAACATTTTAGACTTATTCTCTGAGGGGAGCAAACTCCTCCTTTGCCATTGCACTCACACCAATACCAGGAAAWGCATATAGAAGATACCATGGAAAACATGCAAAATGTTTATTTCTTTATGAACCACAAAGAGTTTTTTTACAGTAATGCATTTTTTCTTACAGATGCAACATCTGGAAAGCTCTAGTAAACTGGCTTCCAATTCCAGTAAGACCCCTAGGAAAGCGGCTTTCAGTTCCAGGAGAAAATTTTTACTTAGTGGCTAAGAGACTTCCAAGTTCATGATCCAGAACAGGCCAAGAGCACTTAAAAGTCAACAACATCATAAATTAGCTAAGTAAAACTGAAGTATTAAAGTATCTGAGGTTGATTTGGGGGATATCAAGTCAAAACTTAGATCAGACTTTCAAGCCTTATTTAATTTTACTTATACAACATGTGCCTCAAAAAAACAATCTGTCTCAAAATATTACATCCCACAGAAACTGCCATCAGAATGTTGAAAAAGCTTTTGCATTGCAAAGGCCAAACGTTTTTTCCCCTTTGACCATCCTTTTACTAAATCAGACTTCAAATAGAGCGGTTTTCTGTGAGGAATTAAAAAACATTCACAAATTACCCCCATTTTAGATTGACTTTGACATTTCGTAACGATGTTAGAGCTAAGTCTAGCCAATGTGGGTGGAAGACTTCCAGGCTAGGATTCTGCGGTGTACAGCRCTGTTGGATAGGTCACATTCTTTCCTCCAACCAGTGCAAATCGATGTCCTAATATGGTGCTAGGTGGCACTGTGCTCTGGATTATTTCCTCAAATAAAATACAACTTAATCACTAAATACCAGTGCACTGTTTGACAGAAGGGAGACATTAACTCATTCTTAAAAGCTGGTGTGCAAGCTATGTTCTACTCACCTTTTYCTCACAGCCATTTCAACAGGCCCAACTGGTGTGTTTCACTTCATACGTCAAACTCCACAAACTGCTACTACCCAGGTGGACATGCCACTTCACATACATTTAAAAGATGCTTTAGCTTCCTAATTTTGGTCCCATTAAATTTTAAGAAACTTTCAAAAACATTTGGTGGATTATTCATTTCTAAAGCTCTGAGATCATTCAGATGAAAGATTACAGATACGCATGAATTACTATTTATTATGACAGAAATTAAAATCTCTTTGCCCTGTGCTGTAGACAATTCAGGCTCATGCTACCCTATCTCCCTAATCTGCTGATTRCTTTAAGAGTGTATAGATGATCCTTCCTTTGCTCTACCTCTTCGCCCCTTCCTTCTCTATTTCTCTGTGAGTGCCACTACTGCCGACAAGAGTTTGCTCAGACCTGTCTCTTTAGGTAACAGAAAGCTAGAAACTCAAATTCCAGGGCCAGCAGTCACATTAATATCCAACAAGTTCTGTCTGCCTCAATTTCACCTAGAATAGGGCTTCTGACAGTATCCATGCTTATGAAGCATCTTGATAGATGCCACTTTTTGGCACTCCTATTACCATTTACTTCACAGGGAAATTGAACGTGTGTAGATAAACATATTTCCTTTCCAAGGAATATAAAGCAGCAATAGAGGGGAAAAAAAGAGAATTTATCTTATAATGTTCCAAAAAAAATTTTTTTTTTGTGACTTGATACTGCAGTAGTTTAATTTAGTATCACTTTCACATGATGCTTCCTTCTGTAGTCGCTTGTAATTCCCATGTCTCCTGAGAACACCCTTGGAGACACCAGTGTCTTGTATTTAGCTCAACTTCTTACCATACTCCAAGATTTTCAAAAATAGCAAGGCTGAGAAACTCCAATAAAAGATAACTTATTTTACATTTATTTCTTGCCATCCATTCTTACTGGCATTTTGAAAATATTCTGAAAACATTTGGCATTAGGCAAGCAATATGATTGGACTAATTAACAAAGCTGTTCTTAAATYCTGCATATTCTTGAAAAAAATCTCTAATAGCAGACAAACAGTTTTCACAGAGAAGCATATAGAATTGTTTAGATATCAAAGCCACATTCTCCTAAGCATTTCAGGTTCAGCTTATAATAGGATGCTTGTTGAAACTGTATTCCCAGGTCTAGATTATCTTTATAAATAGCATAATACATTACAATAGAAAGGTATCAAATTCATCATGAACACATTTCATGGAAAGGAGCTCCCTCTCTAACAACAGCCAAATGAAACAAAGAAATAGCTCAGAATACTGGAGGCGTTGAGTGTTATTTTGTTCTTTTTCCTCCCTCTCTTTCTAGTTTGGGTATTTTCTTATATCCTGCAGGGAGGGCACTCAGCATTTCCCCTCACTGTTCTCTAATTTGTTCTTCTCATATGCAACATAGCAGGAAGAGTCTAGGTAGCAAAGACAGAGCTCAGCGTGGCTAAGAGAGCACAAAGACTTGGCGGACGTGAGGATGTCACCTCCAGGCACACAGGCTGCTCGAATTTGTCCCCAAAGGGGCAGATTATGGCTGGGAGGAGGGGCAGTCCCCAAAARATAGACTTTAACACTTCAGTCAATTTGTAGACATCAAAAAGCTCCACGGGGTGGTTGTACTAACACTGTCCCATTTGCTGTTGTCCTAGGCTCTGGAGAAAACTTCTGACTAGCGCAGAGTTTACTTAGCTGCAGAAAGTTTGCTGAACTTCAGTTCATTCTGAGGCCTGTTAACAGCAGGAAAAGCCCAGCCTACAGCTACAGAGGATTCACTGCCTGATGACATTAATAAGATCCAGATCCAAGAGGTAGAGACAGCTGTGATCTTCCRTATCCTCTGCCCTGCAGGGTGAGTACGTTAAAGCTTTTCATCCCCTTTATAACATCTCCTCTCCTCACTTAAGTGCCAAGGGTGAGGGAAAAACAACAGGAGAAGCCAAGAGAAATTAGTGTTCTAATTTTGCATTAGTAAGAATTTGTAAATCTACGCTGAGCAGATAAAGCTTAGAGAGACTGCTACAAAGGTACTCCAATCTCAACACTTTTTAAGATACTCTGATTAAAAATACAGAAAAAGAAGCTTCTTACAAAGGGCAAAGCCAGGAGAAGATACACATGTGTAAGGGGATTCTTTGAAAAAGTCAACATTCTCAAAATACAAACCATTGTAAAAAAGCTAAGCATGCAATAAGTTCCAAACTAACAAAAGCTATTTCTAGATCTAGATTGAATACTATATTAAAAATGCATTTCTGATGAACAAAACTACCACCGTGATTTATGAAATGCCTCTGTATTTCTATRTAATGTCAGTTATCATATCTGAAAAATATAACAAAAGTATCCAAGTGAGAAAAAGCAGTATATCTCTCTCCATCTTTCTTCGGCTTTGTCTTTTTAAAAATTCTTCTATTTCTAGCCTGAGCAATTACATTAAGGGCAATAGTTGGCTTAAAGTATCATCTATATGATGATAGTTCTATATGAATCAACTACTTTCCATAAGCTATTCAGGTTAAATAAACTATGTTTGTTATTCAAAAAAACATGGGACCCAATTCTGAATATCCTGAATTAACTTGTGAGTAGCCACTGATCACTAGTATTGTTCACTTGAGCAAAGATTAGCAGAACTGAGTTCTAATCTGTGCACCTG